TGCACCTTCTGTGTTAAATTTTCTGAATGTAAATGTTCCAGATTGTTTTATTGTTCTGATATTTCTATTTTTTGTATTAAAATAATATATATATATTTAAAAAGAGAGAAATTACAAATATAACCAAAACTTAAGAGTTGCAAACTGCAGCATCCTGTGCTACCTTAACACATACATTTTATTTTATTTTTTTCAACTTGAGATTCAGGAAAAATAAAAGATTAATGTAGAAAATTCTGTTGTAAGCATGTTTGGATACTGAACTCTTTAATGTATTACTATTAAACACATTGTAGCATATTATTTGTGGCCACAATCATTTACATTTTTAAAGAAGTGTTGAAAATAGTAAGAGTTTTTTCATTGCTACTCCATTTTTTTCAGTTTTTCTGATTCTTTATTCTGTACATTTTGAAAAACCTTGCCTTGAAAGAGAAAACATTTCATAGGAATTGCTTTTCAGTGGTCCCCCAAATTTCCAATTTTTCTGTCAGAAAAATGGAAAAAAGACCTGAGAGGGGTGAATATGGTAACCATTTTTTCCTAGGGCCTCGCATCTGTGTGTGTGTCTGAGGGTGGAGGAGGAGATAATAGCACTGGTCTCAGTAGGAACCTGCTAACAATCAGTTCTTGATTACTTCCATGGTATTTCCTCTTAGCCCTTTTTGTTCAGCACCTTATTAGATTGTCAGCTCTCCGGGCATTTTCCCCCCTGGGCTGTGTGTCCTAGAACCCTGCTAATGCTAACTATTTTATGGCAGTGATAAAAGGAGAGTTGTGCAGTTTGGGGAGTCCAAGATTGTGCCTGTAAATGTCACAGTATAAGACGACTGGTGCTTGCCAAATGAGTATTTGTTAAACTTCCTGTGTAATATAATTTGGGCTTCATGTTGGACATAATGGAGGGTTGGGCAGGAGGAGTGCGGCCATTGTAAAATTGTCAGATTTCATGTTGGACATAATGGAGGAGTGCGGCCATTGTAAAATTGTCACCAACATGGCTTGGTTTGAAGGATGCAATACTGAAGGATAGTGCTTCCTCCTCTTCCCACCCTTTTCAAAAGGCCAGCCAATCTCAGGAACTGGAGGCTGAACTGGAGCGCTTGACCCAGGAATGTCGGATGCTGCGACTGACAAAGGCACAGATGAGCGAGGAGTTGGAAGAATGCCGGGATCAGGTAGGCGGGCGAAGCTGGTGGCTGAAATGACTTCTTCAGAGGTGGTTTTGCACACTAATAGCATGCACCGCCTACTAGGGGCTTTTATTATTGCCAGTCATACTGTAATCATTTAGTTAATTCCTTAACAAGCTAGCTGTGTTTTCTCTCAGCTTTGGCTATCAGATTCCCTACAAGATGTGCTATGGGAATGAACATAATCTTTATATTTCAAATACATTTCATAATCATGTTTTGGAATATCTTAAATCTCTGTGAGTGGTTCCCCTGACTACTTGCTAAGCTTTCTGTTATGTCTGCAGTATGCTGAGTGCTTCCCTTCCCCTGAACTCTCTTGCAAGAGGGTGATGTTTTTACAATGTGGTAATGCTTTTTCTCTAACAATGCAGCTGTTAGAGGCCAACACAAGCTTAAGCCTGGCAGAGTCGCAGTATGTTCAGGAGCTGCAGACATTAAAAAGCCAAGTAGAAAGTTCTGTGCCTAAAGCCTGCCTTGTTGAGTTACAAAACATGCTGGCAGGAGAAAAGGAAATGGTCAAGCAGTTGCAAGGAGAGCTGAACTTCCAGGCAAAGCAGACGAGACACCAGTTGGCCACACATCAGGTAAGGAGGAGCTGTACCTGGTTTTCCCTAATCCTAGACGGGGTGTGGAACAGCAGAGTAGTTGAGTTTCTGTGGGGTGTGGGTCAGATTGGATGTAGGTGGCTCCATGAATGAGCTCCTAAGCCAGCAGTGCCTCCCCCTTTCCTCTCTAAAAGGATTTGCATCTGGACTTCAGTGCAAGTGTGTGTTTGAAGCCTTTTCCTCACATCATTTTCCTGACTTAGAATGGGTCTGCAGAGTTGTTTTTTGCCAGGGTGTACAGTAAAATGGGGGGTTGGAAGTCTCCATTGAATCCAAATGGGATCTCCTTCCACGTGAGGGTTCTGTGAACTGCATACATAGAAGAATATAGATTGCTCTCCATGTGTATTTCTAGGAGTATCTGTGAGTGGTTCCCCTGGCTACTTGCTAAGCTTTCTGTTATGTCTGCAGTATGCTGAGTGCTTCCCTTCCCCTGAACTCTCTTGCAAGAGGGTGATGTTTTTACAATGTGGTAATGCTTTTTCTCTAACAATGCAGCTGTTAGAGGCCAACACAAACTTAAGCCTGGCAGAGTCGCAGTATGTTCAGGAGCTGCAGACATTAAAAAGCCAAGTAGAAAGTTCTGTGCCTAAAGCCTGCCTTGTTGAGTTACAAAACATGCTGGCAGGAGAAAAGGAAATGGTCAAGCAGTTGCAAGGAGAGCTGAACTTCCAGGCAAAGCAGACGAGACACCAGTTGGCCACACATCAGGTAAGGAGGAGCTGTACCTGGTTTTCCCTAATCCTAGATGGGGTGTGGAACAGCAGAGTAGTTGAGTTTCTGTGGGGGGTGGGTCAGATTGGATGTAGGTGGCTCCGTGAATGAGCTCCTAAGCCAGCAGTGCCCCCCCCCTTTCCTCTCTAAAAGGATTTGGATCTGGACTACAGTGCAAGTGTGTGTTTGAAGCCTTTTCCTCACATCATTTTCCTGACTTAGAATGGGTCTGCAGAGTTGTTTTTTGCCAGGGTGTACAGTAAAATGGGGGGTTGGAAGTCTCCATTGAATCCAAATGGGATCTCCTTCCACGTGAGGGTTCTGTGAACTGCATACATAGAAGAATATAGATTGCTCTCCATGTGTATTTCTAGGAGTAGAATGTGTTTTCAGCATGCTGGTGGAAAATACTGTTGGAAAAAATACAATTTTTTTTAGTTCAGTAATCCTCCCCTCAGTCCTAGGATGAGTGTGAAGGTCCTAGCAGACAGGTTCTGTTTTACCTTAACATGCTTCATTGAGGTAAACCAAATTCCTCAAGAGACAAAACATCTGTGGCTTGCATAAATTAAACAGATCTATTTCAGGGGTGGGCAAACTGTGGTTTGGGGGCCACATATTGTGTGCCTCCCAGTGGGGAAGTTGGGGAAGCGAAGGGGAGGCATGCCTCCCTGATTGATTTTCCCTTCCCCAGCCAGTGCTCCACTCTCTGGATAGGGTTGAGAGGGGGCAGAGAAAGAGAAGGCATTCTCCAGCTTGGAGAAGGCATTTGTCTCTTTAAATCCCTTCTCCAAGCCAAGCCAGCCAGCAGGGGGACGGAGGATGCCTTTAAAGTCAAAGTTGCTTTCTTTCCACCTCTCTCTCCCTCCCTCCCTCCTTCCATCTATTTGCTTTCTTTCCACCTTTCTTTCTCTTTCTCCCTTCCTCTCTCTCTGTCCCTTCCTCCTTCCCCATCTTTCCTTCATCTATTTGCTTTCTTTGTTTCTTTCTTTCTCTCTCTCTTCCTTCCTTAGGGCTTCTTGAAGTACATGATAAATACTAGATATGATGTTCCTGGTGCTCTGATTTCTTCACTTTGCAGGAAGACCATGCAAAATACTGTAGATTAATGGAGGAAAAGATGGAGGAGCTGGAGATGACCATGAAGAATGCACAAATAATGCTTCAGGAAAAAGTGTTCCAACTCAAGGATCAGGTTAGTGCAAGGGGTCTCTGTGTGCACACATGTAACATAATGTAACCCTTTACCCTGGTTACATCACAGAGGTTTGCCAGCAGCCAGATCCACTTCAATCACTCCAGGTGAGATTTTTCTCAGCTTGCAATATTGATCCTAGCATGCCAAGAATGAAGCATTGTAGAGGGGGTAACTCAGGCCTGATGTAAACATGGTACTAGCTGAAGCAAAAGCCTCTTTCTGTGGGACTTTGTATTCACACAGCTGATGGGTTAAACTAGGAAAGCACTTTTGCGTCTGTCATGTTTACATAATGCTTGCCTTAATTCTGGTGGCTGTAGCTAAGTAGGCATGGTAGCAACCAATTCCCTTTTGAACCACACACTCCAGGTAATTAAAGGGCTAAACCGATTAAAATTTTAGGAGTAAAGCCCTTGTTTACATACAAAGGATGTACAGTGAAAAGAAAATCTACTTCAGTGCTGATCTCAGTTTACTATATTGGTGTTGTCATGTCTGTGTTTAAACCAGTTAAGAAATTACAACCTTCTGCCTTTCCTCAACTTTTTCCCCAACCAACCATATTCAGTTTTATAGCAGTGTTGCATAACATTATATTTAGGGGTGGGGGGGATTACAACCTTCTGCCTTTCCTCAACTTTTCCCCCAGTTTTATAGCAGTGTTGCAAAACATTATATTTAGGGGTGGGGGGTTTAAAAAGCCTCCCCAAATTCATCTTTATTCTATACTAAAGCAGGGTTTGACTCCTTTTAGGAGCAATTCCTGTCACCTTCTGATTTTGACCATGGGGAGAAACAATGCATGTCGATAGACCAACAACCTATTTTAAATCTGGGGAAAGGAGTAACAACTCTCTTCTTTCCTTTATTCTATTACTGCAGTTGTAGCTGTTATTGTGCTTGACTGAGGGAGAGAAGGTGCAGTAGAGAATGGCGGGGGGGAGGAAGCAGACCAATGCTGTATTTTTAGAGACTGTTGGATTATTCTATGTAGCATAGTGTGCCATGAGCAGAAAACACCAAGCACCAGAAGACCCTGATCTGCAAAAGGATGTATATATGATAATTCAAGTCATTAGTGAAATCATTACTTTTATAGTGAAAAGGTGCCATTATCTGACTGTTTGGAGATCTGTGACTCAGTGGGCACTAAAGGAAATGTTTTCCTTGTACCTTCCAGCTTGAAAAAAACACTAAGTCTAATTTAATGCTGAAAGACCTCTATGTGGAAAATGCCCAGCTGATGAAAGCTTTACAGGTTTTGGAGCAGAGGCAGAAGAGCACAGAAAAGAAGAACTTCATCCTGGAGGAAAAAATCTCATCCCTGAACAAAATAATTACAGAAATCACTCTGGCATCACAATGAACGAAGGAATCTGCTTTTCAGTTCTGTTTATTTAAATTGGAAAGGACAATCAATAGAAGAGAGACCACTTCATCCCATGGCCAATTTTGTTATGTATTTCAAACCTTGCCAAAATGAATTATATTGGAGTCATTCACAGGTCTGAAAGTCTCCGAGAACTAGATCTGGAATGCCCCTACACCAGAAGGCACAGTAACTAACAGAAGAAAAATATTCTCAGGGAGAATTTAAAAGATGGAGACGCCCTCCAAATACTGCTGGTGGCAATAAAGTGCATATTCCCATTTTTTCCAATGGAAAAGCTAAAACTTTTACTGCCTCTTGGATCAAGTCCCAGAAGCATACTTTTTGGGCCCAGTTCTCAGGACTGCATATTTATTGTGATGGCAACATTTTTTGCCTCTCCTCCTTCCTCACTTGTCTATACACTGGCTTGTATTATATGTACAGTTTTCTACAAATATATAATCACCTCTTTAATCACATCCTGTATTGTTTGGGCAGATATGCTATGAAAGGGAAAGAACCTGCTGTACTTGTTTTCTTTGGTTTTGAGTAAAGCCTGACATTTTAAAATTAAATTCTATTTATATTGCTTACCTGCTGGATTTCATTCATGTGTGAATGGCTGGATTGAACATTTATTTATTTTATGGTGATGGCAAAAAATGTAATTATTGTGCATATGCAGGGGAAGATGGCCAGGACAAAACACTACATTTTAAAAAGGCAAAAAGTTTACCACACCTTCGTTGTATGTCCTGCTGATAAAAATGAACTCTTGTAGAAAAAGATGCAGGAATATCTTTTGCTCTTTTAAATTATCTCCCCCTCCCCCAATAGCGCATTGATCTTAATGTATAGAAGGGGTTTAGAAGAGAGCAATTGGCTTGACCATCAACCTTGTGCTAGGGATAGCCGAGTCCTGATTGTATAGTTTGTTCTACTCTCCAGTGCTCCTGAGGCCAGAAATCTTGTTCCATAATCTAATCTAATTTAGATGGACAGGCATTTACTAATTTAGGGTTATTCTGACTTGAATATTGCATTCTCACACTCTGAAGTTTGCATGCTCACACTCTGAAGCTTGCATGCAAGTCTGGAAATATTTCATTTCCTTACAAAATACCGCCTGTACTTCCATTTGTTTCTTTAATAAACTGAGTCATTGCTGACAGTTTGCTTTACATGATAGGTCGGGTTAGTGTAGGTAAAAATGTGTTTGCAGTGCATCTCAGATTCAACCCTGTACTAGGATATTGATATCAGATTGAGGTGACGAGAGAGGAGGTCCTACGACTGATAGACAACTTAAAAACTGATAAATCGCCAGGCCCAGATGGCATACATCCTAGAGTTCTGAAAGAACTCAAATATGAACTTGTGGATCTCCTTACAAAAATATGTAATCTTTCATTAAAATCTGCCTCCATTCCCGAGGACTGGAAGGTAGCTAATGTCACTCCCATCTTTAAGAAGGGTTCCAGAGGAGATCCGGGATATTACAGGCCATTCAGTCTGATGTCGATACCGGGTAAGTTGGTAGAAACTCTAATCAAGGAAAGAATTAGTAGGCACATTGATGAACAAAAACTATTGAGGCAGACTCAGCATGGGTTCTGTAAGGGAAAATCTTGTCTCACTAACCTGTTAGTGTTTTTTGAGGGAGTGAATAAACATGTGGACAAGGGGGACCCAATAGATGTTGTTTACCTTGACTTCCAGAAAGCTTTTGATAAAGTTCCTCATCAAAGGCTCCTAAGTAAGCTTAATAGTCACAGGATAAAAGGACAAGTCCTCTTGTGGATCAAAAACTGGCAAATTAATAGGAAACAGAGAGTGAGTATAAATGGGAAATTTTCTCAGTGGAGGGTGGTAAGCAGTGGGGTACCACAGGGATCAGTACTCGGTCCGATGCTTTTTAACTTGTTTATTAATGATTTGGAGATGGGAGTAAGCAGTGAAGTAGCTACATTTGCAGATGACACAAAGTTGTTCAGGGTGGTGAGAACCAGGGAGGATTGTGAGGCACTCCAAAGGGATCTGTCGAGGATGGGTGAGTGGGCGTCAGCGTGGCAAATGGAGTTCAATGTGGCCAAGTGCAAAATGATGAACATTGGAGCCAAAAATCCTAACTTATAAATACACGTTGATGGGGTCTGAACTGGCGAAGACTGACCAAGAGAGAGATCTTGGAGTCGTAGTAGATAACTCAATGAAAATGTCGAGACAGTGTTTGACTGCAATAAAAAAGGCCAACGCTATGATGGGGATTATTAGGAAGGGAATTGAAAACAAATCAGCCAGTATCATAATGCCCCTGTATAAGTCGATGGTGCGACCTTATTTGGAGTACTGTGTACAGTTCTGGTCACCACAGCTCAAAAAGGACCTGCTGCTTCTCTAATAATGGAAGAACTCTTATTACCATGTTTTGATTTCCTTGTAAGTAGTAGTGAAAATTGAAAAAGACCTACTATTATATGTATATATACTTATAAAAAATTATATACATTCATTTCTTTAAAAATCAGCATTTTGATACTAATTCTGAAACAGTTACATTGTGGGGCCACAGGTTTAGCGACTTACGAGTTCTGTGACAGCTGCTTCCAGCACTGACTACAGAGAATGTTGTCTATACAAGCAAGAAGGCAACTTGATTTGAAAGTGCATCAAAAGGGAGCAACTTTACCATTGAAATTGTGTAGGAATCCAGGGAACAGTGCAGGTAGTGTACAACAATTTTTCACCCACTAAATAGAAGCTGCCTCCAGTCAACTTTGCCATCTGTTGTCTAGCACCATCTAATTAGGCTAATTGTTGTATTTTTAATTGTTTTAACTGTGAATTTAATCTATGAATGTGATTCTACTGTGGTACACCATCCCTGACCCCTGTCCTACAGGGGAGGGCGGTCTAGAAAATAATAGGGCAAAACAGCATCTTAAATATACTGAAGCTACCTTAGGAATGAGTTTCGACATCTAGTTCCAAAGCAGTTACAAGAACAGTGAATTTAAGAGAGAAATCCCATCACCTTTTCTACACTGACCCTCTCCTAAGGGAGAGAAAAACATTCAGTGGGTAAAGTTAAGGGCTGTGAAAGTGCAAGGGAATCTTCTTTTCATGTACCCACTGTCCCTAACACCTTGCAGGTTGTTTTGCAAAAATGAAATAGCCTCATCTTGCCTCATAGTCACATTGTCAATATACTGATGTTCCTATAGAATAAAAAACTGTGAAAATACCAGATGGCATAAAAAACACTAATAAAATTACATGTGTTAATGGGTTTCTCACCCTTCCCCTGTTGAACTGAGTCTGTGCTATTTTTCTGGTCACTAGAAGTAACTATCTTAGCAAAACCTGAGACTCCTCACTTATTACAGTTATTAACTAGCTTAGCAAACCAGTAAATGGACTCTCTTTTTCTTGATCAGATTGGAATTTAAATACTTACATTTCACAGCTTCTTGACCCTGCTGTCTGGGTGGTCCCCCCCCCCCCCATACTACATTAAATGACAGCACCCATAGCATCTGAAGTAGTGTATTCTATTCCAAGAAAGGTTGTAGGAGAATAAAATATGCTTAGTCTTTAAGATGCCTTTATTTATGCATTATAAGTTATTTTAAGGACTACAAAGGTCATGTACATAACATCACACATACAATAGGACTACATATGAAACGGTGATTTCATTCTAGCATAACATAAGATTAAGTTTTACATATGTTTATAACGTTCTTCTCTCTTCCAGTACAGAAGGAACCATTACATATGTAAAGGAATCCACTTGTTTCAGGACAGGGCTATAAGTGTTAGTATTAGTCATGCCTTTCACAACTGTAACTAGAAATCCTTGGCCTTGAAAGCATTGCGACATGGTAGCCCTGCTTGCACCAATTTAAAACCTTCTTCAAAGAATCCTGCAAACTCTTGCTGATGGTTACTTTATGACAGGACATGCTCCAAAATTCCTTGCCTGATTAATTGCTCACATTTCCACCTAGGTAAAAAATGCTGGTGGGAGGAGGAGAAAAAGAGTAACATTTTTTAAAATCTGATACAAACATTTATGTTCTTTGTTCAGTTCAGACAACCTAATCCAAACTGAATTCAACAGTATGATAACCTGAAATGATTTCACAATTGTCTCCAAACCTTCAGTCTAGTTCAGAATTAATTCTGGTGGGACTTGCTGAGACAGAGAGGGGAAAAGATCTTGGGGTTGTAGTGGATAGCTCAGTGAAAGTATCAACCCAGTGTGCTGTAGCAGGGAAGAAGGCAAACTCTATGTTAGGGATTATTAGGAAAGGGGTTGAGGATAAAATGGCCAATACTGTAATGCCCCTGTACAGATCTATGGTGCAGCCTCATGTGGAATACTGTGTACAGTTCTGGTCACTGTATCTCCAAAAGGACATTGCAGAGCTGGGGAAAGCACAGAGGAGATCAACCAAGGGGATTAGGGGGTGGGAGCACCGTCCTTGTGAGAAAAGAGATGAGAAAAGAGATGACTTAAGTGGGGGTGCATGAAATGGAGAGAGTTGCCAAAGAGAACTTTTTCTCCCTCTCCCAAAATACTAGAACTTGAGGGCATCTAATAAAGCTGATGAGCAGTAGGTTCAGGAAGAACAAAAGGAAATACTACTTTACACAGAGAGTGATTAAAATGTGGAATCTGTTGCCAGAGGATGTAGTGATGGTCACAGAAATAAACAGCTTTAAAAGGGGATTAGATAGGTTCATGGAGGACGAATCTATCAGTGGCTACTAGCCAGGGTGACTGAGGGGAACCTCCACATTCAGAGGCACTAAACCTCTGGATCCTAGAGCCAGGAGTCAACATCAGGGGAAGGCCTCAGCCTCTATATCCTGTTGTTGGCTCTTCTGAGGAACTGGTTGCCCACCACGTGATACAGGATGCTGGGCTAGATGGACCACTGGTCTGATCCATCAGGGTTCTTATGTTCTGAACTCTATCTGTAGTGCTTGTTTGTGGATGTGGCCTCTATGAAAAAATAACTTTCTCTTTTTACTACTCTGTCTAGATTGAAAGCTATATAATGGTGCTGGGGTTCCTTCCAAACAAATGGCACTAAGGTATTTAGCAACAGGCTAGCATGACTGGAACCCTGAGCCTCTTTACTCTCTTGTCATAAATACCTGGCTATTCTTCTTCAACAGAATTGTTGTGCCATCATCAATCTCAAATTCTCCGTAGTCTTTTAAACATCGAACCTTAGAAAGGAGGAATGGTTATCACGCCATCTGCCAGTCCGAGCCCAAATGATATCAACATAAAACTGAGCGAGAAAATCATCAGCTACCTATGCCATATTATTTATTAATCCCTTTAATCTGAGACAAGGATTTATCTTTAAACATAAAAGGATTTATAATTCCTCAGTCCAAGATCCTGCATCTGAATTTAGCCTTTAATTATATTTTATAATCTGAATTGTGATGACAAAATACACCAACCATGCAAATAATTAAACAACTGCATTTAAGCACAGGCATATCCGTTAACTTCTATAACTAACCAAAACCTCAGATCAACCTGAACTCACTCTTAAAGAATTAAGCATTGCATAATTCTCAGGTTCACTTACTTCAATGTACAAGCTTTTGGGCGGCTTAATATCCTGTGTAAGGTCCAGCCCTTCTCCTCCTCCTAATGATCTCATATAGGTAGCCAAAGACTTCTTATACTGGTTGAACCATTCCATCTGGAGACATAAAATGCCTTTCTAATTAATCTATTTAAATACTATTTTCAGGCAGTAAAGCAAAAAACATGCTAAAGCCAAAGACACCAGAAAAAGATAAATAACGGGGCAAAACTTTTATTCTCAAAAAGATACCCAAACCACACAGAGATGATATTAACTCTCACATGCTTGCAGCACATATGAAGACAGCATATCACTGGAAAGCAGTTAATCCCCCAAGCATAGATCAATGGTTCCAAAGGGTCTGGAGGCAAACAGAGCATTGATAGAAAAGTGTGTGCACTACGTGAGGCTGTCCAAAGGACTGGTCATACCAGACACATCACCAAACGGCATTCCCTTATTTCTTTGCAAACAATTGCTAAAATACACCCTACCCCCATTTTACAAGTGTAACAAAAATCTCTAGTACATACATAATCTCTGCCTCACAGATTTCTAGCATATTGGCTCCTCTGCATGGTATGTATTCAAATATAAGCACAACTTCACATTATTCAATATAACTTTCCAAGCATTAACATATGCTTAAATAACTTGTAAGCCATTGGGTAAGTCTTCATCATTAACCACTACATATATAGTCAGGAAGATAGTCTCCTGCAGTAGGGTTGTCAAGTTTTCCACTGTCAGAAAGTCCTTTCCACATCAATTCATCTGATGAGGCACCCTGATACACTGCAGAGGATACTGGAGCATGTTTTGGTTTCTTGAAGGTACAAAGTTTGCACACCAGTGCTATGGGACACTGAAGCTACATTCAGATATGGAACCAAGCCAACAATAAGCTTAAATGTGTATGAACCTGGCCTGTGCCTGCTTTATGTGCATCCCTCCTTCCTCCTGGTTTAAAACTAACTTCAATTACCCAAAATGTACACATGTGGGTGCATGGTTCAGGTGGAGTTAGTTGAACCTCCCCAATATGCATATATTATTTAGTGCAAACCAGGATTATAGTTTTTTCCATATTTAGAATCCTAAAACTATTAGGCAAAAGACTGGCTTACTTCTTCAGCTGACATGTGAAATCGGACAACATTCGGTAAGACACTACCATATTCCCACCTAAGCGCTCGGATGCGAAGTAAGCGGTCATACCTGAGAAAACAAAGATGGTAACATAATGAATGTATTCATAATCCCAAACAGGGTCAGTTTAACCCCATAATACTTACTTACTGAGGGAAAATCAGAACTTTATTGTAACTTGAAAGTTATGATAAACTTTAGAGAATTCTGCACAGAAGAAAATGATTTTTTGGTGTTGGGAGAATGCACACCCCAGTTGCTGTGCATCAAGCTGTCAGCTTCTGCCACTGGTTGGAGCACTTGCAATGATTCCTGACTTAAAAATATGGTACTGCAGGCTTGCTCCTCCTCGTCCAGGCCTATTTCAAATGCTCCCTCAAGTTGATGTGCTATACAGTCTTCTGACTCCAGAGAGGTCTTGCGTTAGGGGGGCTGAGGAGAGGTCACGGCTTCTTGCACTACACGGCACATCTTCCAGCATAGTCGCCAATCAAGCCTCTACAGTTTAGTGTGTCTGTTTACCTTAATAATCACCAGTTATTGTTATTTATAACAATAAAAATGTAGCAAAGCAGGTTAAGCACATTTTAAAATGAATTACATCAGTTGTTTACATAGTATGATTTAACAAATTGCCTTAAGACTCACAGCGGTTGTGCAACCACTCAGAAAAATCACTTTGAAATACATTAGCTCCAGAACTGGAAGAACCAGGAATGGCTTTGGAAACCCTTTGGTCTCACTTTCCTAGTTATAGAAACAATTAGAAGAAGAGAAGAGATTGGATTTATACCCCACCCTTCACTACCCAAAGGAGTCGCAGAGCGGCTTACAAACTCCTTTCCCTTCCCCTCCCCACAACAGACACCCTATGAGATAGGTGGGGCTGGGAGAGCTCTGACAGAAACTGCACTGTTTCAAGAACAGCTGTGTCAGAACTATGGCTTGCCCAAGGTCATCCAGCAGGTGCAAGTGGAGGAGTGGGGAATCAAACCCGGTTCTCCCAGATTAGAGTCCGCACACTTAACCACTACACCAAACTGGCTCACTTAATTAAATACCAAACTGGCTCACTCAATTAAACACTTACAGGTATGCAACTATACACCGTCGATTTCTGAGTAGAGAACAATGGCGAAATTTGATTGTTGGAATCAACTCGCTGTGTCCTGACTTAGCTTCATTTCTAGTAATAATGGAAGGACATGTTGTATTAACATACACTTTAAGAGCATGAAACTTTACAAGGGTCCCCAATCTTTTTGCCCCTGCAGGCACACTTGTTATTCTGACACAGTGTGGCAGGTGCAGCTGCAAAATGGCTGCCATAAAATGGCTGCCGCAGGAGGCGGAACCAGCCACAAGATTCCTGCCATGGTTTACCTTTGGTCACACAGTGAAAATCCTTGTGCTGTGGTGGCAGCTGCCACCAAAGCAGCATTAAAAAAATACACACCGCCAACCAGAAGCCTTGCTGTGCAAAATTTTCACCCTATCCTGCCCATTATCCAAAAGCACTTAGTGGGCACCAAGAAAGGTTTCAGCAGGCATGACGGTGCCCATGGGGATTCCTGCTGTACACTTGGTTGGAACCAAGTCAAAGAGTTCAAGGAAGCAGAGCTTCTTTGCCTTCCCCTTTCCTCAGCAACCCTCTGAGTCCTACTTGAAGTCAGAATGGAGGATGAGGAGATACTGTGAACTGTGAGACAGAGGGCTGCAGCACAGAAGAACATCCAGCAGATTCAGCACTCCCGCACATGCACACATGGTTGAGTGAGCATCTGCTCCATCTGCTCCACTCACAGAGCTGGGGGAGGGGGGGGGTAAGGGCGTGAGACAAAGAAAAAGGAGCTAATTATGTAATAACACCATTAGTATCTGAAACAACTTCCTTGTAAAAGAGAATACAAAAGCACTGGATTGAGTGACGCTTGACAGTTATTTTTATCAAGATGACAATTCTTTTATCAAAATGCTATGAAATTTATGTAATCACTTATCTACATTTAAAATAAACATATTAGACATTCCATTTTTTGCTCATTTCCATGCTTACCTCAATTTATGGCAATACTGTTTACTTAAAATTAACCTTTTAATATCTGTCAGAATTACTAGTTTTAGTAGAAACTATTCTAAAAGACTAACTAGCGACTAGGCCTTTAATGTGTGGAGTTTAATTTGATTACCCTTTGTGCATTTTACTATATATTTTATGGGTCTTATTAAATGTTAGTTTTAAAGCTGCAAACACTAAGAAATAAAGGCATTAAAAATCAAACACACTGTTTTATATGGAAAAGAATAAAGGAGAATCCATAGCTACTGAAGATCTTCTAACACTGAAGACTGTTTCTGTACAAAGACAATCATGTTAGAAGATAACCCTGATCTTTCTGGTAGCTATAATCAAAACAGGTCTTTTATCACAGAATAAATGTATCTTTTAAGTGTCATTTTTGCATTTGATTTTCTTTACTTACACATCAGCCTGGTTCTGTTCATATAAAGCTTTCATCTCCTCAAGTACTTGTCTGATCCCATCTTCCTGCAACAAAGATAAGTACCAATTTAATAAAGCTTTTTGAACTATTTTCATGCCTAATTCAAGGAAAAAGCTTCAACAGAGACACAAATATTTTTTTTCCTAAAAATTGAAATCATGAATGAATGAATGTTTATTTGTGGTCAAAGACCATTTTTCATAAGAATACAATATTATACAGTCAAAGAGATTCATTCCAGCACAGAAAATATGTTTAGTCATAAAAACCTTAGAATATTTATGAACTATAATATAATAAAAAACTCCTTAAGCTATATCTAAAATGTCTAATATATGTAAAATGATTATAAGTCCTACAAATAAAAAGCTATACATAACCATACTTCTTACTGTGAAATTTTACCACGTAGAAGCAGAATTTGGCTGTCTGGAGATAACTGGATTTTCATTAACTAACATTCTCTCCAGGCAGGTCTCATCTGCATCTACCGATGGTCTGTCTAAAAATAGGGATATAAACTTATCCCTTATGAACTTGATGGAACGGGCACCTAAAGAACATATGAACCATTGATTCCTCTTCTTCAACAGAACAAGGGCAACATCTATCTTCATATGGGATCTCTGCTATTTCTAGTTTCAGATGAGAGACTGAGTAAACCAAAAAATGTGATGCCATCAAATTATGGCTTACTGAGAACCACATTTATAAGTGACAGATTCATATGGAAATTTTCCTAACTAAAATATAAATAAGTTACAGCCCTCGGGGTATTACTTTTACGCATTTTAAGATAGTGTGAGATAATGATATACTTTTTAAACAAGTTGCAGGAAAAATTACAGTGCTGTATAACACATGTATCACTTGTCCATTGGACAAACAGGGTCTTTGGAAACAGGGTAGATGGCTCAGCTGTGTGAGTGTTTATATCCCTAACCATGAGAGTATTAACAGACATAGAAACAATAAAGATAATGTCCAAAATCATATGTAAATTTAAGAGTGTATTTCTAATAGTACTCATGAATATGAATAGAGAGAGGATAGTACATACTAAACAGCAACAAAATGCGCAGCCCACCGCACTATGACTATAAGTCCACCGCACTATGACTATAAGGAATGGAGTCAGAAAAAGCTTATACCCTGAAAATCTTGCTGATGTCTAAGGTGCTACTGGACTTCAATCAAACTGTTTAACTACCATCATATCCCATGCTTCCTGAAGGACAATGAAAATGCTTAAGTCTTCATCAGGCCATTAGGACGCTCCTGGGTCTTACATTTACAAATACTTTACTTTGCATACATCGAGTACATAAGAACATAAGAGAAGCCAATGTTGGATCAGGCCAATGGCCCATCCAGTCCAACACTCTGTGTCACACAGTGGCCAAAAATACCAGGTGCCATCAGGAGGTCCAGCAGTGGGGCCAGGACAATAGAAGCCCTCCCATTGTTGCCCCCCCAAGCACCAAGAATACAGAGCACCACTTGCCCCAGACCAAGAGGTCCTATCTATACCTTGTGGCTAATAGCCACTGATGGACTTCTGCTCCATATGTTTATCCAATTCCCTCTTGAAGCTGTCCATGCTTGTAGCCACCACCACCTCCTGTGGCAGTGAATTCCATGTGTTAATCACTCTTTGGGTGAAGAAGTACTTCCTTTTATCCGTTCTAACCCGACTGCTCAGCAATTTCATTGAGTGCTCACGAGTTCTTGTATTGTGAGAAAGGGAGAAAAGTACTTCTTTCTCTCTCTTTTTTTTTTTTTGAGCCCCCAGAGGGGATTTTTTATTGATTTTTTTAACTACAAAAAACTACAACAGAAAAGGGGGTAAGGGAACTACATATATGGGAGAAAAGTAAAGTACCCACTACTAACTAAAAACCCAAGAGAGGAGACCCTCCAACTAGCTTTAAAACATCAAGTCTTCTCATCATTATTCTTTTTATGAACTGAGTCAAATCCTTTAAAAAAAGAAAACCTTTTACCCTCCAAGTTTACATTTAACTGCCCAATAACAGTATCCCCAATCATCCCCAAGAACCAAAGTTCTCAAAGGCACAGATCAGAGT